CGACGTCAGGGAGGCGTGACCAATCAGCGCCCGGGAGCCGAAGCCTCCGGAGTCCCGTCCCCCTCTGGCCATGGGTCAGGTGACGCGCCCACTCGCCTATTTAGAAAGGACCCCCCCGCTCCTCCTCCTCCTTTTGCAGCCCCACCAAAGAGGAGCGTCCGCCCGGGCTGCTGCTGCTGCTGCTGCTGCTGCTGCTTCTGCGGCTCTTTGCTCCGCTCTTTGCCTCGCGCTGCCCACGTTGCTCCGGGACTCCCGCCGTCCAGCCTAGCCCAGCCCAGCCCAGCCCAGCCCAGCCCCGCCAGCCGAACCAAGCCCTCGCGGTGCCGGAGCGCGGAGAAAGAGCGATGCGCGCTTGCCTATCCCTCCTGCCGCTCCTGCTGAGCCTCGGGACCGGTGCTGCTCTCGGACACCGCCTGGGAGCCGCCTCCTCGGAGCGCAGCGAAGGTACCCTAGAGATCTAGCTCTCCCCTCCCAATCGGGAGGCTGTGAGATCGATCCCCAGGTAGAGGCAGATATTCGGAATAGGCTCTCCTATCTCCTAGGGGGGTTGGACTAGATGACCTCCAAGGTCTTTTCCAAACTCTGTTATTCAATGATCTATGACCTGCAGCGGGAGATCATCAGGCGCCTTGGAAGCCCTTGCCCGGGGATGGGGAGCGCACGCAGCGAGGGGAAGATCCGCGTGTGTCCTCCGATGCCCCCGTCCGGCCAGGCTGGAGGTGGAGTGCGGGGGGGGGGGAGGAGGGAGGAGGACACGGTCAACCACGGTCAACCACGGTTAATTGGGAAGGCTTCCCGGTTAGGGTTAGGTAGGACCCCCAGCCTGTTGAGGGGTGTCTCTCCCTTCGCGGGTCTCCAGCCAGGCACCCGGTGGGCGCGGAAGCGGGAGGAAGGCACGGCGGATCGAGGCTTCTGGGGATGAATCTCCCCTTGATCGTGACTTGAAGCTTCTCCCCCCCCACCACCACGACAAGGGATCCTTTAGGGGGTCGAGGGAGGGAATTGGGGGGG